TATGCAGCCTCTGTGTCTGCTTCTTTCACAAGCTGATCCCTACAACCACCCCTGCTACTACCGCCAAGCTGTTCTTAGCTGAAGATCCCTGGAAGCAGCTGAGAGTGCTGCTCCATGGGAGTCGTTCTGCCAAGTGTGCAGTTCTTCAAAGGGAGAGATGCAATGACTGCAACAAAGCTGCCACTGAGAACCCGTTAGGGACCCCAAGGCAGAACGCAGTCCCGGCTTTTATGTAAACAACGTTGGAAAGTTAGGTACATTTTGCAGACAAGCCTGTCCCTATTAGTTCTCGGACCTTGTCTCCTATCTTTTCTTGGGCCCTCTCACAGCCCCGTGGTCTGACACACCATCTGTGCTTGGCAAGTTTCATGTCATCTGAGAGGAGGGAATCTCAACTGAGAAAATGCCTCCACAAGATCCTGCGGTAGGCAATCCTGTAGAGCATTTGCTTCTTTAGTGATTGATGGAGAGGGTTCAGCCCACTATGGGTGGAGCCACCTCTGGGCTGGTGGTCCTGGCTTCTATAGAAAGCAGACTGAGCAAGCCAGTCAACCACATTCCTCTGCATTCTTCTTCGCATCAGCTCCTGCCTCCAGGTCCCTGCCCTGTTTGAGTTTCTGTCCTGACTTCTTGCAGTGATGAACAGTGACGTTAAGGCATAAGCCAAATAAACCCCTTCTTTCCCAACTTGCTTTTGGTGATGGTGTTTTGGGATAACCATAGTAACTCTAACTCGGACAGGCTTCCAAGCACCAGGACCCATGGCCCACTGGCTTCTATGATCCTCACTGACTTCACTTGTAACAGATATGACATTCAGTTACTAGCTCTCCTTTCTTCTGCATGTTTTTGGAAGTAATCCATACTGTTGGACAAAATAAGAAGATGAATTGTGACTGTTTGTCAAATATGAGGGTAACACTATCTATAAAAAAAAAAACATGGCATTTCCTTCCATTCGCAAGGTGGAGTTGATAGCAGGGGTGTCCGAGAAGACTATGCACACGGGGTAGATACAGACAGCAGCTACGCAGGCCAGTTCCCACTCTTCTCCATGGATATAGGAGCAGCTGTTCCCTGGGGGAAGATGGTACGTCTTCTGGTGCCAACATATGCCAAAGTGGGTTGAAAGGAAACACAGACACCTAGCTTTCATCAAGAAAGTCTGCAGAGAAAGTTGGCAATCGACACAGAAGAGACACAGCGACAGGAAAGGACACTCGTTCTGCTGCCCCAAACATCTGAACGACCTCGGGCAAGCAGCTCAAAGGTCCCCAGGTTCTGTTCAATGCTTTCCTATGAGTGTGATGGAGCCCAACTTCAGTTTCTGTCAAGAGAACAGAGGAAGTGACAAAGATTTTATCATGGACTATCTGTAGGTACACATCTTCCTCCACCTAATTAACTTGCTTACAATTCACGCTATAAACAGCTCAAATCGAACCATGGACGTAAGGTTTTCTTATGACTGATGCTGCCCATAATGGATTTCTAAAGGAATCAGGAACATCTCTGTGGTAACTGTCAGAGTTAGAAAAGTCTAGCTGAGGATTTACATCCCACTTACCAGCCATGTCTTCTGATGAGTTGCGTAAGCTCCCCATACGCCTTTGCTGTTCAGCTGTTCGGCATTCACACTAGGAGCTACTTTGAGGCCTAGGAAATAAACACACAGTATCTGCCCCACAGCGAGCATATCGTGAATGGTCATTGTCATCTTTGTTGCTGCAGTTGTAGGTGAAGTGACTTCAGACTGCCTGCTTACACTAAGGATGCCTGGTGACATGATTCATGACCCATGCCCCACTAGCTGGTCTAGCTTCATTCTGTTGCCATGACAAAACACGCCCATCAAAAGGAACCTGAAGATAGAAAGGGCTTACTTCAGCTTCCAGGTTATTTTCCGCGATGAGAGAAGTCAGGGCAGGAACTCAAGCAGAAACTCAAAGCAAAAACCGTGGATCACTGTCCGCTGCCTCACAGGTTCATTCTTAGCTTTCTTATAGAACCTAGGACCACCTGTCCAGGGAATGGTGACGCCCACAGTGGGTGGGGCCTTCCCCTATAAATTTATCGTCAACACAACACCTCATAGACGTTGCCACAGGACAATCTAATCTGTGAAATCCCTCAACTGAGACTCCCTTCTGAAGGAACTCTAGGCTGTGTTGAGTTGGAAATTAAGCTAGGACACCAGCATAGATCAGAAACTAAAGTTTAATCCCATAATTGAGTAAAATAGGACACAACTCAAGTCCCTGAACTGAAATTAGATTGAGTTTAGCATTAGAGGTTAATGCCTCCTGCTTATTCCCACAGTGGAGTCAATAAGTTTGATGGAACTTGCCTGCTTGGAGACAGAATAGCCTGAATTTGGTGGGGCCCGTTCCATTAAGACAGACACAGTTGAAAGTGAAGCGCCAACGGCTCTCTTCTCCCTCGTCTCTGAGTCCAGGGAATGCCAGGAAAGGCTGCTCCTGTCCTCCAGACTCCTCGGTCATATGGCAGGTGGGAGCACGGGGGCTCTTCCTCGTCTCTGCCTGGAGTCAGGCTACCTGTAAAACCAACCCATCTGCCACATTTTCCAACCCAGACTTCTGAAAATTATAGCTAAACCTACACAAAAATGCAAACCCAGGAAACGAGCTCCAAAGACGATTCTCATCCTCGCAATTCACCACGGTTCATATGGCCATCACTCTACTTCTGGCAGGAAGTATGAAGCCGACAAATGCTCAACACTGTTTCTAAACACCTGCTTTCCAGTAAGAATTTTCGCACGTGCACATCTCTGCACTACAAATATTCCCATCAGAGCCAATTTCCAGATGCACAATGCTCGCAGTTTTAACCCCTGGCTCACAAGGCTCTCGTGGGTGGGCATTTCTGCCTCAAGGCCCATACCACGCTAGCACTGTCCTCCCTTCTCTGCTCCTACCTTACCCTGTTCTCCTCTTCCGAGTCCAGGGAAGCAAAATGGACACAGCAAAATGTTGACGCTAGTGAAGTGTCCAAGTTTTGGCTTTCTCCCTCAATTTTGACATCTTCCAGCCACAAGAACTGTAATTCTTTTTTATAAAAAAAATTATTTATTCTTATCTTATGTACATTGGTGTTTTGCCTTCACATATGTCTGTGTGAGGGTGTCAGATCTTGGAGTTACAGACAGTTGTTAGCAGCCATGTTGGTGCTGGGAATTGAACCCAGGTTGTCTGAAAGAATAGTCAGTACTTTTCAACCCAAACTGCTAGGAAACCTCCCCAGAAGAAACAACAGACGACATGACCCTGTCTCATCCAGAGACCAAAGAAGTGTCTGTAACTAAACCTGAGTGGAAACAAAGTCCTTACTCTCTCAAAGACCCGTGTTTTTGGGATGAGCCTGAAGCACAGCAGGGAAGGATGTAAGAACTGACAGGAGAGATTTCTGAGCCTCACAGAGGTGCTCAGAATGTCTCTGAGCACATTCGATCAACACCTCTCTGTGTTGCCTCTCTTCCTGATATTTAAATGCAATTTTGATGCCTGCCAAGTTAAATTACCTATTTGACCAATTCATGCCCTTAAGTAAAAATGATGCAATTATCCTTAATAAGTATAACTACCAACCTGTTTTCACTTGATAGGTAGAAAGTTTTATACCTTTTAATAGCATAGCTTCAAGCGGACCATCGGGCTTTACAGACAGCCAGAATCCAGCTCTGCATGGGGTGCCAGACGACACCAGAGCCTCTCCAGTCCCCTGAACAACTCGAGCTTGAAAGCAAAGCGCACACATCAGAGGATGCTCTCTCACAAAATCTTACACAGAAAATCCTACATGGGTGTTGAAAAAAGGAAGCCAGTGTCCTAGTTCACCATTTCCCCCACCCATCTAGCTTAAAAGCAATAAAAACATTGTTCTTGCCTAATTGGCTTTGGAACAGGCCTTCTTCACCCTCTGTTCCTTGTAGTCTTCCTTCCTGGTGGTAGTAGAGTTTTCTCCGATGGCAGCCTGTTCTTAGCCTAATATGCCATTCATTCTACAAATCCAGTGTCTCCTCCTTCCTGGGTCTTTGCTGCTTGGGTCCTTCCACTGAGGTGACTTACTTTCAGCTAAATGGTGGCCTGGGAGTAAAGTGGGATGGGGGCTTCCGCTTTTCCTCCCTGTGCTTTGTTATCTGGGTGGCATCAAAGATAGATAGATAGATAGATAGATAGATAGATAGATAGATAGATAGATAGATAGATAGAT